CCACCTTCAGCATTCCCTGGGGACCTCGCCACTCAGTTCCCTTGCAATTCTGTTGCACCCCCTTAGTGTTTGGCCTCGTTGTGGCGGGATCATCTCAGGCGCAATTCCCGCACTGTGTCTCAGGTGTTGTCCCCTATAGGGCTGTGAGTCAATGAAGGACGTCATGTCTCATAGTGGGGCCGGCCATGTGGTCCTCTCTGTGGACTGGCTGCTCTAATCAGGAACATCGTACTCAAGGCCTGGTGGGCCAAGAGGTGCTCCACTCTCTCCTCCTCCCCCTCCATCTGCTCCCATGTGCTCTGATCAGATATGTCCCTCTCCCAAAGCTGCAGATTCAATGCCGCCCTTTGAAATAAATTTTTCTGGGGGGAGGGCTAGGTGTCCACGTAGTAGTTGAGATTGGGGCCGGCCTGCTATTCCTTCTTGCCACCCAGTCCTACTCCCATGATTCTTCCAGTTTCAAGTTATAATTCTTCCAGTGTCAAGAAAAGACGCACATAATATGCATTTTTGATAGTGTAAAAGACTGCTAATCACAGTACTGGACTACAAAATCCAGGACCACAAGCAAATGTCATCATGCATTATTTAAATCTAAAAATTAGCTATATTGAGGAAATTTTACAGACTACCTTGGGTCTAAAGGCTCCCTGCAAACCATTTTTTCAAGAAAGTAAACAATATCCCAGAAACTTACAAACAAAAAAGTTTTTCTAGCCTTAAAAATAATTTTAAGGTATCAATAGGAAACACTTTATTTAGGTATTCATTTATTATTCAGCAACATATTATATTATAAAATTCTAAACTTTCAGAAAAGTTGCCATAGTACAATGAACATCTATAAACCCTTCACCAAGATTCACCAGATGTGTCACATTTTCTTTCTCACACTCCTTTTCAAATACTTACATACATGTACTGTATATACTTAAGTATAAGCTGACCCGAATATCAGCCGAGGCACCTAATTTTACTACGAAAACTGCATTTAAAATGTGCCAAAAAGCTTGGCTTATACACGAGCATATACAGTATATAGTCTTTATATATTTTTTATGAAAGTATATATATATCTTTCACACTTTTTCATTTTACTAAATCATTTGAAAGTAGCAAACATTATGACATGTCAATCTTAGTATTTCAATGTCTCTTTTTTTACACGTTATTATAAATCGCGTGAAGGTTTACAGAGCAATTCAGGTTTTCATTCTACAATTCATCCAAATTTTGTTCCATCTCATTCATTGAAATCCCCACAACGTAACATCCTTATCCCACTTCCTCCCTGTATTTCCTGTTTCTATTCCTCCTTCTTTCCTAACCTTTCTGAACTTTCTCCTTGGATAAATGTTGTCCTTAGATCTCATAAGGTTGATTGCCTTAACCTCCGTGGTGTTATTGTTCACCTTATATGCCTGTCAGCTGTTTGACTGAAAGTTGAGCAATGGAGGCAGAAGAGAGCAGTGAGTTCAGTTGCAGGCCTGAGAGGTGGCCAAAGGTCATAGTCTTGGGGATTTCCTCAGTCTCTATCAGGCCAGAAAGTCTAGGGTTTTTAATGCTTTAAATTTTGGTTCACATTTTCGCTTCACTCCATACAAGTACTTCCATTGTAATCCCTTTCAAAATTGTCTGCAATACACATCTTGTAAGAGTGAATCAGAGGTGGGGATTGTCTGGCCCTCAGACAGTATAAGGCCCACAAAATCACCAATACCGGCTCACATCACAAGCCTCATCAAGGAGAAGTCGTTCCAGCCATCACGTGAGGGGTGAGTTAATGAAATGTTTAACCAAATATAGCAGGCAAATTTTTAAGTTGATAATTTTTTATGGTCCACAGTGATGTTATAAATATCAAAATGGCCCTTGGCAGAAAAGTGTTCCTCACCCCTGGTCTATATAATCACAGTATAGTTATCACATCTGAGAAATTTTACATGGTACAATCACCATTTGTCTAATATGCAGTCCATATATAAAGTTGCCCAACTTGCCCACCAACATACTTTAGTGTTGTTTCTTTTTAATCCAGTTCCTAATGAAGGATCACATACTATATGTCGTTTTGTTGTTGTAAGGTGCCGTCAAGTCGGTTCCCACTCATAGCAACCCTATGTACAACAGAATTAAATATTGATCAGTCCTGTGCCATCCTCACAATTGTTATGTTTGAGCCCTCTGGTGGGGTGTGCTCTTTTTCACTGCCTCTATACTTGCCCAAGCAGGGTATCCTTCTCAAGGGACTAGTGTCTCCTGACAACATGTGCTACATACATAAGAAGTCTTGCCATCCTTATCTCTAAGAAGCACTCTGTTTGTACTTCTTCCAAGACTGATGGGTTTGTTCTTCTGGTAATTCATAGTACTTTCAATATTCTTCCCCAGCATCATAATTAAAATGCATCAATTTTTGTTCAGTCTTTCTTATTCAATGCCCGACATTCACATGCATATGAGGTGATTTAAAATACCATGAGTTGCGCCAGGTCTCTTTTAATCCAGAAGAGATCCAAAATATTTTCCCCTATTTTTTTCTGGTTTTTTTATGGCATTGATATTTTTAAAGAATCAAGATCAGTTGTTTTGTAGCTTTAACAAACATTGTGAGTGGGGAAAACTGAAGCACAAAAGAAATTTTCAAAGAACAGAAAAATAACTTTGTATTTGGATTTTTTTTCCCTTTCTTGGTATATTTTATTTATTTGTTTTTTTGTATTTGGATTTGATGCCTACCTTTACCAATAATGTTAAATACATTTATTACTCTTACCTCAACCTTGGTTATCTAATGTCTAAAATGGCAATAATAATCCTCTTTCATGAGATAGTTATGAGGATTATTAATTAGTAGTCTTTCCTGAAAGCAATTTGATAATCTACATCAAGAACCGTAAGCATGATTTTATTTCTAAAAACACATTGCCATCAAGTCAATTCTGACTCATGGAGACGCTATAGAACTGCCCCCTGAAGGTTTCTGAGTCAGCAACTCTTTACGGAAGTAGAAAGCTTCATCTCTCCCCTAAGGAGCAACTGGTGGTTTCAAACTGCTAACCTAGAGGTTAGCAGCCCAACATGTAACCGTTATGCCATCAGGGCTCCTGCTTGT